ACGGGTTGCTTGAATTATACGATGGTAACAGATTTAGTTAACTTATATTAAGACTGTTAATATAATATATAATTGTTTTTAAATTAAACTATTTGTTAAAAAAAGGGCACGTGGTTTCCTTTATCTGTCAATTTGACAGGTGTCCTTAGAAAGAGGTATACAGATAGCGTCCGTAGACCTAGCGTTAATATCGGCGACTATGGCAGTCACCGTGTTAAGAATAATGAGACACCTAATTTCACAATTTTTTAATCCAACATACGTTGAGAAATCACAATTTAAAATGATTCCACGTGTTTCTCCTGCAATGCCCGAGAATAAAATTTCGACACAGATACGAGTGTTCGAATTCGTCGTTTGAAACGAGCAAAACCTCGTGACATTCGACACTTCCAATTTACCCTCGTCTGCGAGACCAACGCCGGCCATTTTCCCGGTTAATTACTAATTAAACGTCGTCAAAAAATTATTGTAGCATCACCGGACACTGGTGACCACCATGGCAGTCAACGTGTTAACCTCCGTACATACGTGTCTCACACGTTCAATCCACGACTACTGGAGTGTAGTATTGACTGACTCTCGCACACCGAGTGATCCATCTCGGTCGCGTTAAGGGTAGCATGAATACGTAGGAAGGTATTGCAAGGAACTGGGCCAAAATCGATACGGAATTGACGATCTTTGCACCTGGAACGTCTCAATCGCTAGTTCCTCTGGGAACGTGATATCCTGGTAGTTCGCTGAACGCGATGCGCCATCCGGATGCGTATTCTCGCGATCGGAGCTGACTTATCGATTGACATACACGTGACACGGTGGCAGCATAAAGTGATACCCCGAGACACGGCTCATTACTCGATGCTATCGCGGCCTGTGGTTACGAGACATGCGCGTTCATCGTAATCAATTAAGGCTCATTACGCTCGATCCTTTTCCTCTGTCGTTCCTCTTCGAGTCTCTTCGGTCGTTAATTCTCTTAACCGGGAAATGGTAGGAGTGCGGACGGGAGGGAGGGGGAGGGGGGTGAAGGATGGAAAAAATAGACGGTACACGAGATACGAGGCTGTGTATACACGAGCTCCTCCGTGACTTCTTATTCGAGCCGCGTAGGCCGTGAGTAAGTAGTCGATCAATGGCTCCTCGTGTCCGATGGACTTCCAGGTCCCTGGAGAGCTGTTGACATCGAGCACTGGTGCGCTATGTTGGCCGTTCCTCGTATTTTATACGCGCGTTTCTCCTTTCGGAGAGCAGATCTTCCCTCGAACGCGAAAGAGAAACGGCCTCCGGAAAGGTATCGCCCGTGATCTCGCTCGGCCGCCTCTTGTGCATCCTAAAGCACTTCCGGTTGCCGCTACCGGCTTAAGAATCCCGACAATGCGCCGTCGTCTCCGCGGCCTCCGGTTTTTGTTTTGTGCAAATGAACCTATCAACGTCGACGCTCCTTCTCCTTAATCGACCCGGCTCGTTAAGCGCCAACGGTGCGTAGAATATCGATATGATCTCCGATCGAGCCGCCATTACGGGTCTAGTGACCTTCGAAGTTTCTTCTTCGAAAATATTCCTCGAATTACGCTACCTCTCGATGCACGGATACGTTTCATTCGCGTTTATGCGTTGCATGTTTCGTAACACGTGTGCTTCGCAGAGATCGACAGAGCGCAGACGCAGAGAACGACTAGTCAAAGTGTAATAAATTTATTTCTTCTCCAGTTGGTAAATATAGGTTGCACGGATTTTCATTATCGAATGGCAATGTCACGTCTACTGATAATAGAATTCCATCGCCATTCGTGAGAAAAAGACCTAGTCTGCGTCAACTATTTGACACGAGACGAAAAAAGTGACAATGTGACTTATGCCATAGCTGTCAGAAATATAAATTCAAAGGTGAAATCGCCATGGAGGAAGAAACAGAGAATCCTCTTGTCTTTTTGTCTTTTCAAGAGTAAATTCCTCGGAGCAACACGGTCAATTTTTATAAGCAATGACATCTAGGAGATGTCAACGTGAACGTTGTTCTCTTAAACAGGACGCCATGTTTGTTACGTGAAAATATCGGAAATGTCGAATTCTAAGAAGAAACGTTCGTCTTTAATCCTAAAGCAACCAATCACGAATAATTCCTCTCCTTCCTTCTTTGAAAATTGACCTGACCGTTCAATTTTTTGACAGGTCGCTGCAATCGGGGATAACTGAGGCTCGTTTCCACGAGACGTCGCTTCGATTTACATATCAATTAATCCACTTACCTCCGAGCAGACTGCAGAATCTCTAAATCTGCCGCGCTACGTGCTACGTGCTTATTCTTTCGATCGAGAGACTCAATCTTCGGTCACAGCGGAAGCCTTGTCGAGATCTAGATCGCCCCAGTTTCTCCCGCAGCGCGAATCAACTGGGCAACGTCGATCACCGGATGGCTGACCGGCAACCGGAGGTTCGTCGATATTTCACTCGGCAAGAGGCCGTGAGGCCTGGCAAAATCGTCCCGCGTGCGCCAGCGTTGGCCAACTCTCATGCATAGAGTCATGACGGGTCTAAGCGATTGCTTATTGCCGCTGCAACCAGTCGCCATGGACTGACGCACAGTCTCGCCCGTTTGTTATCCCGGATCCAGTGCTCTACATGGTACCCTGGACGTTACGCTGACGTGAGACATTATCCGAGTGTCTGGAATGGATCTTGCTCCCCTCGGAGCGCGGGATGATCTGGAGAAAGGACATAGAATTTTCTGAAGGAAGACTGACGAGCGCGTGTCGGCTCGGGATGATCTACGTCGCGATAACTCGGGGGTAGTTCGAGCATTGGATTTTCCGATAAGTATCGCTGATACTAGGTCTACTTGGAGGTTATTTAGGAGATTGAATTAGGGAGACTGAGAAAAAATTTGTATTCTTTCTCCTGTCAAAATTTACATTCGAATCTCTCCGAATTTTCCACCATCTGTGAGGTCCAATTAATCTCGGATATTAATCCCCGCGACAATTCTTAACGCTGGAACTACCGATCGTGCGGTAGGACATCGATTAATCGATTCGATCGCGAGGCAGACAGCCTGGATAAATGGAAGCCTTGATAATCGAGTGCTTTGTCACGCCAATTTTTCACCGTCGCTAAAGAGGTGAACTAAAGAGGGACCTTGCAGAGGCAAAGGAGAACAACGAGATATCTGTAAACGTTTGACGTTGGGAAACAGAGAACCCTGGATAATCCGGTCTCAGTCGAGGTCCTACTGTGTACCTAAATAAGCGACACGTAAATAATTGCGCTCGCGACGAGAAGGAAATAATTAGGATTTATACGCTGGCGATAGAAGAAATATGAAGTTTGCCTTCAGCCTCTTCCACAATTTCAAGAACAAAAAGTCTAAGACCAGTCAATGACTGGTTCGCGATCAGCAGCTGCAGCGCGAATGGCACCGAGGAATCAGGGAACGCTCGGTGCGCCAAGAAAATGATCAATCTCCAAAGAAACGGCGTCTAAACTTCGTAATATACCGATCGCTCTCGTTCTTCTTACCAAACCTTGTACTTACTTATATGAGAACAAAACCGATCCCGAACACTTGGGTAATATTCCCCGGTGAGTTCCCCGGAAAGCAAACTAGAGAGCACAGCGGAACACGCGCTATGTACGGGTACGTGTACTCGCGTCGTAGGCTCACGGTTCGCCAGGCGGACAAATCGACTTGGACGTAGCCGCGATTTTTCAGGGTGTACCAGTTTTTTCGAGCGTTACCTACCGCGCGCGCGCGCGGAACGCGGCCCCTTATGTCCCGTATACATTACAGCGTGAAATGAATGATTCCCTTCGTACCAGTCATGGCGCCGTAAATTATGGCCATTTCCGCGAAACGTGCACCCCTCTGATGAATTTACATCGTCTTTCACAAAACCTTCCTCTAATCTCTAAAAATCTCTCCACCCCGCGATGGAAATTCAAATTCCCAAATAGCCATGATATCAAGATCGTAAAAATTAGTTTGGTTCCATGGGAAATCTTGGCGGACTTTGCGAAAATTCGCGCAGACTTCTCGCGCAACTTTGTCTAGCCTTTCTGTCTTTCGCGTTACGTAAAGCGATTATCGCGAACGTGTGTACGGAGGCACGTTCGATTAGCATCGATGATCGGCGCGAAGAGGACGCGTCACGTGGAGCGGAGCGACGGCGCAGAAGAGGGACACGGACGCGAGAAGGTAGCGGCGACGATCGCGTGCGATCCGGACGTGGAAGGAACGTTCGACCTGGCAAGGTCAGCCGCGTGGGCAGGTATCCGTAACTCGACGATTTTGCAACGCTCTCGCGCTTCCTGCTGCAATTGATTAATGGCGGCCGCGGCGCGCTGTGTACACCCGGTTGGCAGCGTCTTGACTCCAGACCGCGATCTAACCGATGATCCTTAACTTTCGTCGCCCGATTTCCATCGCGCCTCGTTATTCTCTTTCGGCACCTCCAGCTCTCGTTATTTCTCCTTTCACTCGCGCTATCGACAGTCACGCGAGTCGCTCGCGACAAGCTTTGGCGCGAATTCTTCGAATATAAATCGCGAGTTGCTCGCTGCGCTGTCATAGCCAGCGATCGAATATCGTTTAGGTATCGCGAGCGAAGGATCGATGGAAGTAGACGACAGTCAGAGGAGACATGGAATTTCGTTCGACGTTTATTTTTAATTCGATTTAATTCGATTTAATTCGATCGAACAGCGGGTTGCGAGTTCATTCGTTGGCGAAGACAGGGAGTGTGAGAAGTTGTAACGTCAGGTACAAGTGGCGAGATACATTAGTAGATAGGAAGATGCTAATTGCGACATTGTTATGCATTTGGAGCGATGGTAGTGGAAGATAAATCTCGGAACGAGGATAATTGAAGCACGATTAGAAGGCCGTTACACGCTATCTAATCGTGGAAGACTGGGCTTTGGAAGAAACCACACACAGAGGCTCGTTTCATAGATTAAACAAAAATATTTAATTTTTCGCGTTACGTTTAGGTACTGGCCGCTTGTGTTCACCGTTTACATGCTATTATGTACAAAAAAAAAAAAAAAAAAAAAAAAAAAAAAATGGAGGAAAACGGATAAAAAGAGTCGGAAGAAGAGAACATGAGTTGGTTCGTAACGCCAATCGAGAGGTCCGTACATCAAGCGGAAGCATAGAAGCGATACTCTGATTCGCAGGAGAGTCTCCCCTCTATCGGTTACACGCACAATTTTTTTTCCTTCCCCCACCCCGTGCTTATTTACAAGATGCACGTTTGTTTTATACACCGACGTGACGTCACTTCTCTCGTTCACTTTTATTAACTGGCCTCTCGTCGTGACAGGGTCGCGGATGCGATCGTTCCCGATCGTCTTCTCTCCACTCTCCCCCGCGCCCGTACGCCTCGCTAAATATGACAACACGAAGAACAACGCGATCCACGACGGATCGCGCGTACAACGAAAGATATGATCCTAAAGCGGTCCGTTCCAAGTATACATACATATACAATATAGAATATTTCATATAAATATATTATATTAAGGCACTCCACTACTGGCCGGTATATCCGCGACTCTTCTTTATACAGCGACTTCCTACTTCGTCCTCTCCTATTTCTTCTCTTTCCCCTGCCGCACGCGCGTGACACGCGAAGGATTAAAGAGCGGTACGCAATCGACGATACTCGGTCGCAAATAAATTAATCTCTCGTCTCCCGGATCGGATCGGTGGCACCTATGTACAAATTTGAACACATTTCCGTGGCGGACTGCGCCGCCATTTTCTAACGATTCGTCCTCCCAGTGACGCGTGATCCACCGTGGAACACAACTCGGACAACCATTTTCCTCGTCCGCGTCCATTCCCCGTTCCCTTTCAGTTTCACCGTCTTCGTCCTGCGTCTCTCACGCCTCCATTTTGGAGAACCGACACTGGTCCGCGGTTCGTCGTTCCTGACACCCATATTACTCTCCACCGTTCAATCCCTCCAAGGAGGACTCGGCAGCACCCAGAGTGCGCCTGCAAGGACTCGGGACCAGCCCGTCGCGGGCCTGTCGAGGTCGTCAGACGCTTCACAACGACATGGGTAGCTCCGCTGGCCTCTTCACGCCTAGCGTCAGGTCCAGAGGCTTGCTCTTCGTCGTGGACTCCTCTTTCGCGGGGCTGTCGCGGTCGCAGTCGTTGTCGTTCGACCTGTTGTCCTCCTCCGAGGACTGACTCGGCCGCGGGGAGCTTCTGCTCGACCTGACGCTCAGGTCGATGGGTTCGTACTGCTCCACGGCTAGGCCACCGGGGCTGGGACTGACCAGGAGTAGATCGCCACCCCTGGGCGAGTGCTGCGACGCCGCTGGCGTGACCAGACTTTCCGGAGGGTACACTAGGGCTAGACTCTGGTGAGGGTGGTACCCCGTGGTGAGAGTGACGGTGGCGTTGATCTTCCTGGCCGGGAAGTCGCGTTCCGACAGTGTCGGTGACGCAGCGCTGTTCTTGAAGTAGCTCAGTCCGGAGTTACTCCTGGACTCGGTGTCCTGGCCGTCGCCACCGTCCACGGAGGACGCTCCACTGTCGCTCGGAGTGTCGGCTGTCCTCTTGTAGACCGGAAGGAACGGCCGGAACACGTCTGACGGACTAGTCGGCACGCAGACGCCGTCCTTTTGAGCGAAGTTCATCGGGAACATCGGAGAACCCGGATGCTGTTGCTGTTGCTGTTTGTAAAAGGGAGGCGGGGTCGTGTCCCTGGGTGGGGTTCCCGGTGGCTGTTGAGGATTGCCTCCGACCCTCTCGCGCTCCTTCTGCCAGGCCAGCAGACGAAGTTGGTTCTGAAGCGCGACGTCGTCCGGGTGCGGCGATTTGTTCCCTCTCTCGCGCTCCTGCTTGAACATCGCCATGTGCAACAGATGCGAATGAAGGGCTAGATCCTCCTGACTAGGTGAAGCACGATCCTTCCCGTCCTTGTACACTCCGCTACCTTGCTGGCCTTGAGCCTGGGGCAAGAAGCCTGGCAGGAAGCCGGGTGCGAACGGAGAGCCAGCTCCCGGCGTCACGTTCTGATTTCCGTTTGTCTGCTCCTGAAGGAGGCAGTGGATCTTGAACCAGTTCGAGCGGCGTCCGTACCGCGAGCCGGACTTCGACATTCCGACCATCAGACACTTTCGCAGGCGACACGCCTTGCACGCTGTGCGGTTCTTCTTGTTGATCACGCACACCCCGCCGTTCTTGCATTCTGATATACTCGCTGGGTTGTTGTACGTTCTGCCGAAGAATGACTGTGAACAGAAGAAGAAAGAGGACGGTGAGATATGAAGATGATCCCGGATGGGGTGATGAAGAGCTCGAGGATCGGTGATCTAAAACCACACTAACGCAATTTTTAAATTTATTCTAAATTCGCATAAGACATTCTTAGACTTTGTTAGGATGCTATGGTCGAAGCTAGGGAACTGCACGCGAACGAACAAATGACCTCGTGCAAGGATTGACACGAATGAGACAATTACAGAGGGTTCTCCCCCCACGATAGTTAAAGTTAGCTTATCACAGGTATCCTTGGATGACGGTGGTGCTAGAAGAATCAAAAGAAAAAGGAAGGGATACGTTTCGTCCCGGGCCAACTAGTGGACTCGTCAGTAAGTCTGTCTAGAAGGCTCTGCCTTGAACAGGGATACTATTGGAAGGTCGGGATAAAAGGGGATAAGTCATTCGACTAATTTCTACGCGATGTTCATCATGGAAGAGTTACGTTGGTCCAGTCGTCATACAATGGGTCGGCGAAACTCGTTCGGCTCACGCGCGGATTAAACGTCAGAGCTTAATGTTACGCGTGTCACAGGAATTAGCATGGCTCCGTCTAGGAGCGGATGGTGGAGCGACGGAGGCCGGATCCGCGAGAGGGTGGACAGGGTGGCGCGGAAGATGGAGCGTTGTACGCGGCGCGGCTGCTCGTAAAGTTAAACGCCTGTCGGCCGACGATAAAACCGCCTCGAAAGCGGCGCATCGTGAACTAATTTACGACGCGGCGACCCCTCTGTCTCGAGGCTTGCTTCGAGCTCTCGACTAGTCGCTAATCGAGTGTCTTTTGTGCGCCGGGCAAGCCTTCCCCGTGTCTTCCACGCGTTTTCTATTTTATAGAATAGTACATGGATCACTATTCCAAACCAGTTTTCACTCACGATATTAGATTGGTGTCCATTGGAAATTTATTTCGTCGATAGACTCTTATATTTAACAACGAGCTACAGAATTTCTAGGTATTTGGCATATTGGTCAATTTGTGCCCTTTATTGATTTATTTATTAGTATTGTTGTTGAAGTGCAATGGCGATGAGTGTGTAGCCTAGATCAACATCGGTACCGGGTTTTATTTAATCCTTTCCTTTTTCAGTGGCGTTAAGAATGTGACAGTCTTCAGTTCCCTGTCAAGCCTCGCTGCCACATCAATTTATACAGAAATGTATTTACCACGTCGAGTCCGGCGTCATTCTCTGGGAACCGATAGTGAACTTTTCGTTTCTTCGGCATCGGTCCCTGAGGACCGACGGTGAACTCTTCGTTAGGCCAGTGTTAGTCCCTGGGGACCAACAGTGTCAAAGTTAAAAAATAAATGTAATAATGTTAATGATATTTATTAAAACACTCTAAACAAAAATATGGTTTAGTGTTGCACGTATTATAAAAAGTGATGACTTTTCTGTCAAATTTGTGGCTGTCTGTCATTGTCATTCGTCTCAAATATCGTCCAAGTGCCGGCTCAACGTGTCAACCATTTGAGTGCCACGAGTCTTTCCTGTTTCCCTGTCAAAAAATGTAAAGGAGCGCTTTTGCTCTTGTTTTATCCCCCGATAAAAACTGCCAAGAAGCGCCATTGCGCTGTTTCCTGCCACATGCGATAAGCAGTAATTCTTTCCATTCAGTGTTGTTTTGACATCCTTATGAGCATAAGTAGTCTCAACCCTTTTAGTGCCAAGCGAAAAATGAGTGCCTATTTCACGAATTTGGAAAAAGCTTATAAAAACCAAACTAAGAATGATATTTAAAAAATTCAAAATGCAACATGTCACGGAAGAAAGTGAGAATAATGTAATACCAATTGTATCTCGAGATTTATTGAAAATCATACGGATAACGTCGATATAGAACACGATGAGAAACATTGAAGCAAGTTTCTCTTCTACAAACAATATAATAATAAAAATAAAAATAATCATCTCATCACAGTTTTATGTAAGTCACGTAGTAAGAAGTACAAGCATTACATTTCAAATAATTTTTAATAAAATAACCAATATCGAGTTTCCACCTTATCCACCTTATCCAGCGGATACACAGTCTTGGCACCAACTAGCACAGAATATGACAAAAAATTAAACCTGAAAACAATTTTTTAAATTCTTTTGCAATGAAATTAGACCGTTTATAATGTTTTAGAAATTTATTGTCAGACAGAGTTTTCTCGCACTGAGAAGGATAAGGCACCATGGCATAAGCAACGATATATCGTCGTTGGCACTAAAAGGGTTAAACGTAATCTAATTTCGTTTCGAAATTTAATATAATTGTACCTCAAACATCATCCCACATCGTTCACGGTAGAACAAACACGGAGGCCCTAACCAAAGCACTCGTGTCCCACGGAGAACCGGAAACGCTCGAATTCTGGGCTCCACCTGACGCAACCACGTGGGCGTCTCGGTAACGGTTCGAAAAGCCAAAAGCTCGGATAGCGGTACCAGATCCAAATGGGATCAACGAATGGTCCGCTGGAAGTGTCGGTGAGTATCGATCCGTGGCCCACATTCGAACTTCGATAATGCGTCCAGATTACCCGAGCGTGTCATCAATGAATCACGCGGCTACCGATAATCTCGCATACTCTCCCCGGCCAAGGAAGCTTTCTCGTTTCTTCTTCGCGAGGTTGCGACAGACCCGACGTGGAAGTACACGAGTCGAACACAGGGTCCCCTGCAGACGAGGAGAAACGCGGAATCGAAGGATTCCAGTGTCAAGGAGGCAGGTCGATGGCGTTGATTAATCGCCAGGGTACAGGAACAACGGCGTGCGCTCGACAAAGTGGTAATGATCGCGAGATGAAAACGGACCAGCGGTACCTCGGGCTGTAATCTCTCGATCTTAGACCAGACTCGCGCGCCAGCTCGAAAAGGCTCCCGTACGCCAGATGATCCTTGGCTGTCACCGTGACTGTGTGAAAGAGGTCACGGTGTCATCGTGTGCACGCGAGAACACGGCTTGGCCTGGGTATCCTATCGCTTCCGCCTACGAAACGCAGGCTGTTCAGCGCTATCACGAAGTTTACGGATGGGTAATTGCTCGTCGGAACACACGGAATTTGGTGCATCAGCCTCGCGGTGATGCACGCAGTGGCGTAGAACGCACGGTGCAGACGAAGATGGAGTAAATATCGTTATGCAAATTGGTAGAGAGTTTGATTTATCTTATCGCGGTAATGCAAGTTGGATGGTATTGGGATTATAGGTGGAAAGAAATAACTATCGTTCTTTATAATTATCTTTACTCTATTCTTAGGAAGGTACAGTCGGCCGCATAAGTATTCCACCTATCACTGTCAGCGTATGTACAGGGAAAAAGAAAGTAAAGGTGCACGTAAAATTGAAATTAAAAATATAGGAAATAATTTTTATTAGTAAAAAAAAACAAGCTGACACTTTGTATTAACACTATGCCGTCCGATGACATCGCGTTGGTGTCATGGGCAAATGGTGTCGGTCCTACTGGCGCCAAACAAAAGAATCCCAATTAGACGTGCAGCATAGTGTTAATAATATAGATTATTTTCTATACTTTTTATTTTAATTTTACGTGTACCTTTACTTTCTTTTCCCTATACATACACCGATAGCGATAAATGGACGAATACTTGTGCGGCCGACTGTATATCTTCGGTATTCTAACTGTACGCAGGGAGAGACAAAACTAGAATGATGAGAAAGGGTATGCGATTGAAGCTCATCCTGGTCCCCTAATTCTTATCTACATCCTGAAGTGAACACTTCGACGGATAGTTCAAAGTACGAATGGCGAAGATATTCAATAAATAAACTGATACGAAGGGCACAGTGTCAAAAATTCTCTCATAACCTCAACAATAATATTCGTCGAAGGTATTACCAACTGCTTTACGTAAATAAAACGAAATATAAACCAATTACGATATTTCGATGTGGGATTAAAAATGTCACACCATGCATTACGGTGCATCAAGAAGGTGGGTTAATCCCAGCGTGCCCCAAAGAGTTAAGACGTACTTATCTTCCATAGATGGAGATTTCGATAACGAATTAAAGATCCCAGGTTAATCGCAGAGATTCGATTCTTTCTAAAAGGAAATTCGAAAATTTATCGAAGCTATAAACTTTCGTTAGCGACGATGAAATTATCAAGATTGCGAAACATCGGCTGTAAATACGTAGAAACCACGCGGAACAATAATGAAAGTTTCAGCTGCGGCATGCGAGCATTAGCTCTAAAACACTTGCAGTGGAACTGCTGCATATATCAGTTATTATTACAGGCCCGCGAGCAACGTCCAGCCTATTTCTTCCAAAGACCGCTTCTCCGTTTACAAGAGTTCGAGATCCAACCGTCCCCCGATGGCATCCTCCGAACTCCACCTGTAAAATACGAACGCCATCGAAGATTTTGACCCGGCCAGAAAGTAGAACGACCTCGTTCTCACAGCTGCCACAACCTACATCCCAAAATCCCAACGATCGTTCATTCGGTAGAAAGACGAGGGATTAGAGGGCGCGTTTCGTGCTGGATCTCAGTCAGCTGTGCCCTGCGCGTGGCCAGCTGTGGTACAAGGGGGACAACGGGATTCGCGAGAATAGCGCAACATGCTTACGCGTGGTTCGCGGTGTTTCCAAGTGTTCTTTGCTCCGTGCCCGGGTCCTGGACCGGTCGCGAATCACGTACCGTGGACGCCAGAAAATCGGAATCGGCGAAGAAAAAGTTCTCCGGCAGTCGTTGCGCGCCATTTAGGGTCGACCGCGACAAATCCGTCATGTACAGGCCGAGATTAGCGCAAATCAGCCGGCACGCCCGGAATCCCGGCCCGATTTGTAACGCCATATAGAAACGCCGCCAGGGAAACCGTTTGTCCGTGATCGTGAACGGCCCGCAGAGCGCGGGAAAGCTTAACAAATCGCCGATGAAAAATGCAAGAGGTCGTACGTAGAATGGGGTCGGGAAACGTGTATATGGCTTCGTGGTCAGTCGGGACAATGAGTTT